CAAGGCAATGAGTCATTTTTGTGCAGGAAATTGAGCCCTGATTGTATCAAGGAAACAAATGGCGAAAGCACAACTTGTTAGGACAAGTGGGTGCATCATTCACACCAATCCAGTGAAACCCACATAACAGAACTTCTATATCTGAGATGTAGTCAAGAAAACTTTTTTAAAAAGAAAAGCTTCACTCCATTTTTGGAGACTATATTTAATTCCTCATTTAGGGAAGCAAGTCCATGCAGCAGAAAAGAAATCAGTTGTGCATTACTTTCCCAGCTTTGCTATTTTTTAAGGCAACTTCTTTAGTCCAGTCTCAGCTTCTTTTTCTGTGAAATGGGGATAACCATACCTCCTAGGGTGGTTCAATCAGGTGAAGGAGATTACAGATGTTATTAAAGCACCATACTCAGAATAGCTATCTACTTCCCTGCCCTGAGAATTGTACATTTCCACCATTTTATTGGAACACAATCACACTCTTGTCTATATATTGTCTATAGCTATGTTTGCACTAAATGGCAAATTTGAGAGTTGTGACAGAGACCATATGGCCTACAAAACTGAGAATATTTACTATCTAGTTCTCTACAGAAAAGGTTTGTCAACAAAAAGGGCGTAGAGATTAGGGAGGAGAGTGAGATTGAGACTCTTTAAAAAATTTTTTTAAGTTATTGGCAAAGTGCCTATTGTATAGTAAAGGCTTAATAAACATATATTGGGAGTTTTTTGATATTTCTTTATTCAGCTACTAGTTCAACAAATAATTATTGAGTGCATCTTTGTGCCAGACACTGCTCTGAGGGCCACAGTATCTAGCTATGAACCTAACAGACAAAAAATATGCCTGGGTTCTTTGGACAGACAATAATTAATAAAAATAAAAGCAGTATAGTAACTGGCTGGAGAGAAAAATTAAGGGCTGGAGAATAGAAAGTTTCAGGATAAAGATTGCAACTTTTAGATGGAGTGGCCTGGGAAGACCTAATTGAGATGGTGTCCTTTGAGCAAAATCCAAAGGACACAGGGAGTGCTGGGAATACTGTAGGGGAGAGGGTAAGGAATAATGTTCCAGGCACAAGAACAAATAAAGAGTATTTGGTGTCCTTAAAGAAGGCTAAGGAGTCGGTGTGGCTAGAGTGAATGAGTTAAGAGGGAGAAAAGGAGAAGAAAAGTCAGAAAAGTGCCGGGCAAACCTAGGTAGAGCCTTGAAGAACCACCCAAAGTCTTTGGCTTTTACTCTAAGAGAGAAGGGAAGCAAGAGTTTTGAGCAAAGTAGTGGCATGATCTGATTTGCATTTAATCCAGATCAGTCTGGCTGCTCCAGTGAGAATAGCCTGTCAACTAGACTGCAGCAATTGTAAAAGCAAAAACATAGGAAGCTATTACAGGCATTCCAGTGAGAGGTGATGATGGCTTGAACCCAAATAGTAGCGGTGGTAGTGGTGACAAGTAGATGTCTTGGGGATATTTGGAAAATAGAGACAATGGGATCTAAGGATGGATTGGAAAGTCAAAGATGATTCCACATTTTCTGCCCCAAGCTACTGCTGCAGTAATGTAGTGATCATTGATGTGAGAAGGGAAAGATGTGGGAGATGCATGTTCATTGTTAAATGGGAGAGAGGGGAGAGACATGCAGGAATTAGGATGTAGGAATCATGATGACAACATGGAAGTGTTCAGTTGGAGATGCAATCTCTCATGGGAGATGTGCAGTGGGCACCAGGGTATAAAACTCTGGAGATCAGGGATAGGTCAGAACTGGAGATATAAATTTAGGAGTCATCCATAGATAGATGGGATGTGGCTATATCTATTCAGTAGTATGAGATGGTTGCATACAGACCAAAGTGCGTCACAAACAACATCAGAGGAGCAGAGGCCTGCTTTACAGACCTTACCAAAAGCTGCTAGTGACAGTTTCATTTTACCAGAAACAAGTAGAAAGTCAGGAACAGGTAGGAAAAATATAACTAGCATTCATAATTTGAATGACTCCTAATTTGTCTAATTGAGGAAACAGTTTTATAGTGAGTCAGATTATAATTTTGTAAGTTGATTTGCAAAATCAATTATAGCTTTATAGTACTACATTTTGGGGATGTTGCCTATTATCTCAATGGAAATTAATAAGCCACTTGATGAGCACTCAATACTCCTTACACTAGTGAAGAAAAGATTAGGAAGATAAAACTGCCTCTAATTTATGGACAAACAGAATATTATGCATCAGAATCCCACCGAGTCATTCTGACAATTTAATTTCTGCTGATTCTTATGAATCCTTCAGCCTTTTTAAGAAGTAAAAATCTTGGCTAGCTTTGTTTTCTCTTTTGGTAAAAAGCTTTTAGTTTGGACAGTTATTCAAGCTGACCCAGATTGACTTAATGACCATCTCTTCCCACTAAGACAGTGATTCTTCACCTTTCCTTCATTACCGAGCCCAAGGAACATTTTTAGGTATCGTTGTCCTAATCTCCATCCCATAAAAATGTTTTATTGTGGTAAGATATACACAACATATTTATCATTTTAATCATTTATAATTGTATGACTCAGTGTCATGAAATACATTCACAATGTTATGTAACTATCACTACTATCCTTATCCAAAACATTTTCCTTATCCCCAATACAAACTCTGTACTCATTATACCTTGACTCCCTATTCCCCATTCCCCTCAGAGCCTGGTAACCTCTATTAGGCTTTCCATCTGTATGAATTTTCCTATTCTAGTATCTCATATAGATGGAATCATACAATATTTGTTTTTCTGTGTCTGGCTTATTTCACTTAGTATAATGTTTTCAAGGTCCACCCATGTTGTAGTATGTATCAAAATTTCATTCCTCTGGATACCTGGGTTGCTCAGTGGTTAAGCATCTGCCTTCAGCTCAGGGCATGATCCTGGGGTCCTGGGATCAAGTCCCACGTGGGGCTCCCTGCATAGAGCCTGCTTCTCACTCTATGTCTCTGCCCCTCTCTCTGTGTCTCTCTCATGAATAAATAAATAAAATATTTTTAAAAAATTTCATTCCTCTTCATGGCTGAATAATATTCCATTGTATGGATATACCAATTTTGTGTATCCATCTATCCTATATGAACCCTTGGGTTGTTTCCACCTTTTGGCTATTGTGAATAATGCTGCTATGAACACTGGTATACAAATAACCTGTTTGTGTTCCTGCCTTCAATTCTTTTGGATGTATACCTAGATATGAAATTGCTGAGCCTATGAAATTTTAATACCACAGAGAAACTGTGTATCTGTTTATGTTCTATGTATATATATGCATATGTGCTTTACACATAAAAAGAATAAGATTTCTTCATTGCCCTCCCAGAACCAATGTTCACCTCCTTGAGCAGGAATGGTATCACCCTCACTGAGACTGCAAGCTCCAAGGTAAAGATACCCAGGTTTTCTGACATGATGAGGTAAATATATAGGTAATAGATATGTAGACAAACAACTTAACAAAAAGTCAAGATGTGGATTACAAGGAAAATGACCCCTAAACACATAAGTATAAAAAGTAATCTTTGTTCCCTATGCAATAATGTTATTTGTATTTTAATTAGTCTTCAACTTTGACAAGAGTTGATAAAATAATGAGCCTAAGAACATTTTGGAAAATTGCTCTTACAAGTTGTGTCAGGTCCAAACCAAGGGAGTAAATCTTCTAACTAAACTTCTGAAAACAGTAGAAATTAATGATGTTGTACTCCCACTGAGCCTAAAATATCTCCTGAACACGAAAAGGATAATTACAAGCAAGTACTATGTGAAATAGAAAAAAGAAAAGAAATGAAATGAATACAGGATCCAAGGATCCAGGAAAGTCAGGTATTGGTGAGATTACAGGATGGCTCTGTCAGCAGATATACACTGTGATCTATACTGAGTACACTTCTCAGTATCTGGTTGGAAGGCAGTATGGCAAGATGTCTGTAACAGACTCACCTAGATTTAATTGCAGTGTGGTTGTCTGATGCTATATTGTTCCAGTATGTAAGGAAGAAATTAGGATTGTATAATGGTATTGAGAAAAACAACAGTTTCACATACCTGACCAGAACCCATCAAGTGTCAGGAAAAACAAGAAGTCAAAGAATTGCCATATTGGAGGAGACTAAGGAGATGTGACCACCAGATACCATGTGGGATCTTGAACCAGAAAAAAAGTTACTTAAGGGGAAATGGGATTTCTCAGTAAAGTCTGCAGTCCAGTTAGTTATGTTGTACCAATATTAATGGCTTCACCTTAGTAACTGTGCTGTGATTATACAAGATGTTAACGTTCAGGGATGCTGAGGCGAAGAACTTACCTTAACTCTGTACCACATTTGCAACTCTTCTGTGGGTCTAAAGTTATTTTGGAATAAAAAAATAAAACAGGGGGATCCCTGGGTGGCGCAGCGGTTTGGTGCCTGCCTTTGGCCCAGGGCGCGATCCTGGAGACCCTGGATCGAATCCCACGTCAGGCTCCCGGTGCATGGAGCTTGCTTCTCCCTCTGCCTGTGTCTCTGCCTCTCTCTCTCTCTCTGTGGGCCTATCATAAATAAATAAATTTAAAAAAAATAAAATAAAATAAAACAGGGACGCCTGGGTAGCTTGGATAGTTAAGTGTCCGACTCAATTTCGGTTCAGGTCATGATCTCAGGGTCACAAAATCAAGCCTGGCCTGGGGGCTTCTCACTCAGCAGTGAGTCTGCTTGAGAGTCTCCCTCTCTCTCTGCTCCTCCTCACTTCATGCACACTCTTTCTCTCTCTCTCTTTCTCTCTGTCTCAAATAAATAAATAAATCTTAAAGAAAGTAAAAGAAAACAAACAACAACAAAGTTTCTGGTAGCTTCTGTCAGAAGCAAACTTGTGACTGACATTGCTGAAAAATGGTTGGAGTGGTGGGGTGGGAGGTCTATATTTGCAATCGCAGGAGCTTTGAAATCTGACATGAGAGGAACTCCTGTCTTTGTCTCTTTTCCAACTCTATTGCAGGGTGTGTTGGATACATCATGTAACTGGGATGTGGGTGTACCCTTTCCTGGAACACATTGGCCCAGGAGCCAGAATCGTCTTCTTTGGGTCTACAACCATCTTAATGAACTTTTTGTACCTGCTGGGAGAAGTTCTGAACAGCTATATCTGGGATACACAGAGAAGTAAGTATTGTTTAGGGGAGCATAAAACAGGAGAATCGCTGTCTAAAAGAGTGTGTGCAGACACTGAAGGAAAATTCCATCATAGCACAGGATCACTTGTGAAGAGTTTCATTTTTATAACTACACAATGTTAATTTAAGAGCTGCTGGCAGTTACCTGAAAGGTTTATTACACACTTTGTCTTATTAGCTAGTAAAACATCCAAATCTAAGGAAAAAGAATTATGTCTATAAAATTTTATAGGGAGAAATGTAGTGTTAATAACAGCAACAACAAAATTTAGAAAGTTCACTCCAATCGGCAAAATGCTGCCTTAGCTAGAGGGAACCCCCCCCAATAAATAAATTATTAAATGTTACCAAACAGTCCCATTAAAAGCCACCCAGACCTCCCCGCTTCTTAAATCATCCTTGTATGGGTCCAGTAGCTTCAGAGAGGTCTCCCCAGTTTTCTGCCAGAACTCCAAGCAGCACAGAATGCCTGTGGCCACTGTGATTTACCAGTGACTTGTCATATTCAAGGACTGAGATGGCAAAGAGGTCCAGGCAATCAAGGGTACTACTTCATTGCTGCAAAACTCTCTTAACCTATGATTTGATTTCTCTTTTGTTTCTATTTATGGCAGAGCCTCCATCTTGGCAAGTCACATAATCTTACCCAAGCTATGCAAACCCTATCCAAAGTGTATGTAAGATAACATAAAATGGGAAGCTGGAAAAAGCAACAGCACAGGATGTAGTCATTTGAGTCCTGCATGAAAAGATATCCAAAGACAAGATGGTCCGGGAATTTTAGAGAGCTCTGGGCATCGCCAATGTACCAATGTACTCACAACATTCTAGACATCACCAGTAAATTATCTCTGTTCCACAAACATGGAACACCCTACTTTGTGCCAGACACTGTGCCAGGAACTCGATCTAATTAGACAAATAAAATGCAGTCAATTGCACAGTTACTGGATTGAACTTTTTTGTGTGCAGATCTTCTAAGATTGTATGTGTCAAGGTGTTGGCCCATGGTATATGCCCCAGAGGAATTTGAGGGTTTCTTTTCTCAGCAGCTGGCTTGATTTTATAAGCTATCTATTAGAAAAAGTGTCAAAAATTTTTATTCAGTTCAGGCTACAACTTGGGAAACCAGAAATTAACCCTTTAATAATTCCTTCTCTGTTCAGTGAGAATAATAATCTTTATTAGTTAATTTACTAAAGTATTTAGCTAACTTATAAAAATATTTAAAGAAAAAAGTAAATTTTTCTCAGCTTCTTGGGAGAAAGGCCATATTTAAATTTAGGTTCATACATTTAATATATGTTATTCAGGAAGTATTTATGACTCTTCCCTCTTGATTAGCTTGATTCCGATGGTCATTTGGCCATTGTTCTACTATTTCTAAGAGAAGATGACCTGAAAACTAAGAGAGAGAAAAATCCAGTGTATAGTCATAGAATACTGCTCTTCAACAGCTTTGAGTGAGAAGTTAAAATAAATAGGGAAACTCGGGGTTTTTTAAATGATCTGTTCAATTTAATTTGTGCCATTCTCCTATGTAAGGTTGACTAACATTTCATAACTCATTTTAGGTATGGAGATTAATTTTATTGATGTGGGACCATCTAGTTAATTCCACAGAGGCAGATGTTCCATGTCAAGTGGGCATTTTTTTTTCATTTATGAAAAGGATTGCAAACTGATGGCCTCCTCCAAATTTTGTCTGCCAAATGTTTTATTAGACTTACATAGTGGGATTGTTGTTTTTGAAACAACATTTAAAAATTGGGAGATTACACCTATAGGCCAGATTTCTCAGCTTATCAAATACTTTAGCATCTGGCAACAGCAAGCCCACTGTTCTTTTCTGGCAAAAATGGATTGGCAATGAGGATCAGTTGCCCCCTTGAGATGGCTTCCTAAGTGTTCCTAGTTCTCACCTGGCCAGTTTGCTCCATCACATTAGCTGCCTGCTTCTGTAGGTAGTTAAATTTGAAACTGCTGATTAAAAGCAGTGTGTGCTGTGTGTGTGTGTTGCAATGTGTTGCAGTGAGTTGAATACAGTCAAGTACAGTATTACTATTCTGGGTACATTCACTGCACCCCAAACAAAATCCCCCATGAAACAGGGATACCACACTGAGCACCCTTCCTTGTATCCATAATGATTTTTAGTGGCTTCACTTCCTTCACTTGGTTAGGTTATAATGACTTCACCTTTGAGATAAAATCATATTATTACAGAATCTTAAAATTGAAAAGGATATTAGAAACCACCTAAGCTGACCTTTCCTTTTTACTATACAGCGGCTGAGCCCAGAAACCGTATGTGACGCACCAAAATCGGTAGTTGCAGAGCCAACACCTCTGGGTAATGTTCAATCCAATGTTACTTCTAGTAAGCCATCAGGTTGTCACCATTGAAAACCAAGGCACATGAGAGATTAGAAACTTCACTAAGATCCATGAACCTGGTTTATAAAATAAGAAAACAGACCAATCTGATACGAACTATGAACACAAAGCCCTTAAACTAGGTTAAATGAATAGTTAGGCATTTGCTCTTTTTAAAGGAAATTAACTCAAGGTGGCTTTGTGACTGTTGTCTTGGTTTGTTAGGGCTGCTACAGCCAAGGACCATAGTCGGGGAGGCTTAAACAATAGAGATGTAATGTCTCATGGTTCTGGAACCAATCCTTCTGAGTACTGGGAGGGACAGATCTGTTCCAGGCCTCTCTCCTTGACTTGTAGATGACCATCTTCATAGTCACATGACTTTTGTCCCTATGTGTAAGGCTGTCCAAATATCCCCTTTTATAAAGACAACAGTCATATTTGATTATGGTCCACCCTGATAACTTCATTTTAACTTGGTAAAGACCCTCTCCTCAAATATAGTCACATTCTGAGGTACTGGTGATTAGATATGGAGAGACATAGTTCCACCCATAACACTCTGCTTTCTGCTCCCAAAATTCATGTCCTTCTTTCATGCAGAATGCATCCCCAACAACCCCAAAAGTCTTTCCAGCATCAATTCTTAGGTCAAAAAACTCATCTTAAATATCATCTAAACCTGGTATGGCTAATACTTGGGGTATGATTCATCTTGAAGCACCATTGCTTTCCTGTTGTGATACTGTAAAGCCAGACAGAAAGTTTTCTGCTTCTAAAACACAAGGGTAGAACAGACATAGAATACACCTACCCTTTCCAAAAAGGAAAAATTGCAGAGTTTGAAAAGGGGCCCACAATTCTCAACCAAGTTTGAAATGTATCAGGGCAAATTCTATTAGATTTAAAGGCTTGAGAATGATCCTCTTTGACTGAATCCTCCAACCTCTGTATCACCAGAAGGGGGGGATGGCCCTGCCCCTGGGTGGCAGCCTTAGCCTCTGGAAGTGGGTAGCCCCTGAACCACCTTAGGAGTTCTTCTTTCATTTCATGCTATCTCTGTCCCTTTTAGTCCAGTGTTTCTGCTGGTACAAAATTCTCAAAAAACCTTAATGGCTTCCCATGCAATTCACAGCAACCCAAATCGTCAGACAAGAAGGTCTCCCACAGATCTTTCCTGACTTCTGCAGAAATGGTTAATTTGGATCCCTGAATGACATGCCTAATCTCTTTAGCAAATGGTTGTCCAGCCACACCCTTGGCCTTCTCTTACATTCTGAGGTTCTGAAGTTAGGACTTCATATGAACATATGAACATATGAATTCGAGGGGGATGTGTGTCACACAATTCAACCTATAACGTCTGAAGTATTTCTGTACTTATGCTAAGAATTTATTCCAACTCCAGTGTGTCTAACTGGGGTGACCAATCTTATTAAAGTAAAACTTTATACAATCATAAATGAAAGTGTCCAAAACTGAAAGGTTGGGTTGAGGACAGAGAAAACAAGCAAAAGAGAAAGGAGTTTGGATCCAGGCCTGTATGACAGAACCTTCTCCCCCAGCTGCCCATGAAGTCATGTTCCACACAGGCACCCAGGCCTACAATGTTCCAGTGCTGCCCTCTGGTTGAGCCCTACTCCTAGCCTGGGGGAATCACATGTGACTAACTACCTTAGGGTCAACCAACTCTTCCTCTATGTTCCCAAAAGCACATCCTGCCTCAGCTTTGTGACAGGTTTCTTTTTGCTATTTGTGTGGAAATTATACCTCTGGTTCTTCCAAATATTATTTACAGCTGTCTAATTTTTTCCCTCTACCTCAAAGCTGCCAAACTAAAGTAGGTGGGGAGCCATTTTTCCTGTCTGGGTCAATGAACACCCCCTGTTCTCCACCCCCGCTTTTGAAGATTCCACTATTGCTGCCAAGTCAACCCATCTGCAGGAGAACACTTAGGAAGAAACAGACTTTAAAGAAAAGCAAACAGTTATTAGTTCCTGAGAGCTTCTTCACAAGAGAGGTTGCATGGGACAAAGTTGGGACCCAAGTCATGTGTGCTATTTGAACAGAATCCCTGTTGTGTTTTTCTGCCTTTGCCTTGGTTACCAACAACTAAGGCATCTCCTGGCCTTCTTGCCCTAAACCCAATTCCTCCTCCCCTCACATGTCCTTACTTCTCAATCTGAAGTTTTCCTTAATGTGATTTCTGAGAAGTACTTTGGAAAAAGTGTTACAGATCTGCCAGTTCCTTAGTCATGAAAACCAAACCTGAAAGACTGTCTAAGGACACCTGTTCAGAGCGTGTTACCCGCTTTCCAACACCACCACCCTGACCCCACAAAACAAATGCTGGGAGCTGGGGGAAAGGAGAGTCCTTGCCAATGTAAGCCCTATAACAATGACCTCTGGAATTAGGCTTTAATTTTTTTATATGGTGAAGTTCCATATTTTATTCTGTTTTCCCACTAGCATAGCCTTTTGAGGCTTTCCCTATATTTGTTGTTTATTAATTGATTTGGTAAATTCTAATTGAGCTCAAACTCTGAGTCAACACTGTGTTAGGTGCTAGGGATATTATCAGAAACAAAACAGTTAAGGGTTCTGCCTTCAGAGAGCTTATAACTTATAAGAGAATACCAACAAAACCTGCAAAGCAGTATTTGGGGGTTCTTTTATTCCAGCAAGAGTCTCTGAGAATTTTGTTTCAGAAGAAGAATATTTAGCAAGAAGAAAAAGAAAGGAGAACTGGGGAGCATTTACCAGATTTAACTAATTCATGAGAATGACTTCAACGTTTTCATCTCCAGGAAAATGCAACATCATTAATTAACTATTCACTACAGACAACAGACAGAGCTCTTACTGGTCCAGGACATATGAGTCTCTCAGGAGGTAAAACAGTTCTACCAAAACTGAGTTGAATAGAAAGAGAACTTTTTAAGTACACAAAATTATGGAAATAATCGTTCTTGTGCCTAATAAGCCCTCTATGAGTTTTTTTTTAAAAAAAAAAAACTCTTGACTTTTGAAAATCCTGAATCCTTGCCTTGAGAAGAAACACAACTAAAATAAAAATAAATGAGGTCTGTTTGAGACTCATCAGCTGCACACCTCCTGTTATTGGAAACTAGTTACAAAGCAGTCTGGTTGGGGTTTCTGTGCAAACTCAATGAGTCTAGAACCAACTTGCACTCATCACTCCCAGAAGCCATAAGACCTGGATATGTCCTGATTGAGGCGGGGGTGGGGGGACAGAGGCCACTGAGGAAGTTTCCAGAGAAAGTTGTGAATGATTTTCCTTCTAAGCTAGGAGAAAAGGAGTGAATGGGGAAGAGATGTGGGGAAAGGAGAGGATCTTTTGAACAGCCTTGGCAAACATGCTCACAGTTTGATCTGATGTTAAAATGAAGTACTCTGCCTGAATTTCTAGGTATGGAAGAAGAAAAAGAGAAGCCTAAATTGGAATGAGATCTAAGTCTAAATGAAAGAGCTGGATTGAGCCACCATTGAAGACTGGTTACCCCCTGGGCATTGGCAGTACAGGAGAGGAAGCATCCAAGAGAGCTGTGGAATTCACCTCTGCCTCCCTGCCCCAGAGGGGATTGGGGCACCTTGATAGAGAAATATGTATAAGAATAGAATACAGTTATATCCCAAATAACCTTCTTTATGTTTTAAAGAATTCTTTCCAAATTCATTATTTATAAATAACATCCTTTTTACCCCCTCTTCTAGTTTTTAAAACTAAAATTGGTCATTGAATTTTTAATTTTTGCAATTAAATGGAATTTTGCAATTCCATTTAATTGAGGAAGAATAAAACTGTATTGTGTTTTTTGTTGAGAAATATGTGAAAATCAAATGGGCAGGTGTAGAGCAATGCATTTGAGTACTGAGTCCTGCTGGAGGCTGGGATAACGAACCTGAGCTGCAGGGCAAGTCTGAAGGAAATATGATGGATGTTCCCTATTGCAATAATGTCACAATTGCCTCAAACAGGCAATGTTAATAATAATTACATCAATTTAGCTAAAATCCTGAGTGTATTTAGATCTCATGACTTAATCTTGTGGAACTTTTCCTATATGCAAACTGAAACTTTAATAAAGACCAAGCAATCCCAATGTGATTATCTGCATGGTGTATCTAACATTGGTGTCTCCTTTTTAATTTTATTTCTGTTACCTGTTGAAAATGGGCTTACTGAACTTAGTTCTTAATTATTTTCTGATTTTTTTTAAAATTTTTATTTATTTATGATAGTCACACACAGAGAGAGAGAGGCAGAGACACAGGCAGAGGAAGAAGCAGGCTCCATGCACCGGGAGCCCGACGTGGGATTCGATCCCGGGTCTCCAGGATCGCGCCCTGGGCCAAAGGCAGGCGCTAAACCGCTGCGCCACCCAGGGATCCCTTATTTTATGATTTTAAAAATGTATCTCTTTTTGATAAATTATAGATTAATTTTTTAAAAAGCTAATTTTTGACGTCTTTGACCATAATTATTTTAAAATAATACTAATGCAGAACATGTAGTAGAAAATACATTAAAATAAATCTTAGAAAAAGGTAAGGAAAAAGCTAACCAAAATAAAAGCAGAAATTAAAACAGCAGGAAAATAACAGTGGAATTGATGTACAAGTGAATTGATTAATAAACAGTATCTCATCTATACAAATAACATTAAAATATGCAAACAAGAGAAAGAGAAACAAATACTTGGCAATATAAGCATAGATGTGAAACAAATTATTTAATTATAAAAATAAACATTATAGCTCTATGGCAACAAATTCTTAGAAACCAATGAAATGTGCAATTTTCAAGTAAATGGATTCAATAAGAATTGGAAAACTGTAATAGACTGATATTCATGGAAGACTTTTTTTAATGTTCAAATAACTATCTCCAAAAAAGGATTTGGGTCCAGAGTGTTTTATGAGCAAGTCCTTGAAAACGTTCAAGTAACAACCCTCATGTTATTTAAACTGTTCCAAGATTACAGAAATGATGAAACATTTCCCAAATTATTTATCGAAGTTAATATAACTCTCTAAACAAAGCCAATGTATCAAAAAAATAAAAATAAAAATTTCCGTTGCTTTAACTAAGGTATTAACACTATAAATCCAATACTACATAAATAATTTTTAAAACAATAACATTTATTCTAAAAATTTAAGGATGCTTAATAGTAGGATTTTTATTCAAAAACATTGTTTCAAATCATCCCCACTTATCTGCAGGGAACATATTCCAGGACCCCAGTGGATGCCTGAAACCCTAGATAGCACAGAACCATATATTTACTATGTTTTTTTCTATGCACATATACCTATGATAAAGTATAATTTTTAAATTAGGCACAAAAGATTAACAGCAATAATAATAAAATAAGACAATTCTAACAATAGACTGTAATAAAATTTCTGTGAATGTGGTCTATCTCAAAATATCTTATTGTACTGTACTCAACCTTCTCATGATGGATGATGTGAGATGATAAAATGCTTACGGTTGACATGAAGTGAGATGAAGGACACAGGCACTGCAACATAGTGTTAGGCGACCATTGACCCTCTGACATTGTGTCAGAAGAAGGATCATCTGCTTCCAGACCACAGTTGACTGTAGGTAAGTGAAACCACGGAAAGCGAGATTATGAATAGTGAACACTCAGATAAGTTGGGGACCACTGTAAAGCACAAAAGAAAAAATTCATATGATTCTCTCCATAGTTGCTCCAAGGCATCTGAGAAATTTTAACAGTTATTTCTGATAATAACATTAAAAATATAAAGATACCTCATATCATGAGAAGGAACAGTCATCTCAAACACCAAAGGAATTCCCTTTTAAGGTAAGAAATAAGATATAGATGTCCATGACATTGTTATCGTTATTTTTCTGAGGTCTTTGAGAATAAGTTATATTTTGACCTGGAGTGAAAAAGTTTTATGTTAAAGTTTTATGTAACTACATAATTGATATTATTAATGGAAAAGAAAAGTGAATGTTTTAAGGAAAAGCAGAAAGAGCAAAGCCACCATTTAGAAGAAAACCATTTCTCCACATGACTCTCAGGAAAGTAAATCTGAAGGAGTGGAATTTTTTTTAGAACTCCCCAATTCCTCTGGGACCTTGTGACTATACCTCTCCTCTAGCAAATAACACTTTACTATTTAAGCCACCAAAGTGACACCCAAAGAAGTTAATGCCAGTGGTCTTTGGATATAAAGCTGATTTCACTTATGCCCATCACAGCAGTCTGGATATCTACATCACTGCTCTGTTTGAAATACAATTATGTGATCAGATTTGGGGTTTGGCTTAGTTTTCTCACGATGGATCATTTTTGCTTTAGGAACTCCAGGCCCTGAACCCCAGCACCACATCCTACAGGGTGTCCAGGGCTGTCTCAGCAGGTGCATGGAATGCACCAAGACACACCTACCCAGCTAATGCATCCACTGACCCATCCCAGAAACTCTGCTTGCCCTGGAGCAGAATCCATTGGAATGAGTCTACTGACTGACTGCCATGTAATCACCAAGTGGTTAGGAATAAGTTACCATTGACTTCTCTGTCTGGCTTGCAACCTTACACCTTCTCCCACCAGTTCTCAAACGGATGTTCATGCTTTACTCTCTTCTCTGTGTGCCTATGTAAAGACCAATCTACCATCCATAATCTCGGGGCAGGGAGGTGGGGAGAATGTGCTTCTAGCTCCACTTCTGGAACATGAAAATTAATAATTAAATAATGTGAATTAATGAAAAGAAATTGTACCAAAGAGGCAGAACAATGAAAAGCTTCTCAACTTATTTTACTTAATATACCCCTCAAAAGAAAGCCAAAAGAGCACCACATTTTATTTATCATAGATAAAATACTAGCACTATAAATGTAATATTATACCAAAATAATAAATTTTCATTACCAAATCATGTATACTTTTCTCTTGAGGGATTTTTTAAAAAGACAAATAAAATGGAAAGATAACTAAATTCTGGAAAAGAAAATTCCTTTCTTAAAGATGTCATTTCTTCCTCCAAATGAATTATAGGTACCATATAACTCCATTCTAAAATTGCAGACTTTTTAAAGCTTAACAGAAGAAAAAACAAGTAAAAACAACTGAAAAATCTTGAAGAACAGATAATGCATACTCACATCATTAAAACATATAAAAGTGTAATAACTAAAATAATGCGGTATGCTCAAGAATGGAAAGAAAAATGAACAAAATAAAAAGGATGCCCAGAATTCTGCCCTTAATTGATATATATAATTTTAGCAAATAATAAAATGACATTTCAGATCAGTAAAACCATAATAAAGGATTAAATGAGTGACTGCAATGAATTAATAACAAACTGGTAAACAAGAAAAGGCTGCAGTCCTCTCTTGAAACACATACACACAGAACACACACACAATTTCAGATAGATTAAATGATGAAATGTAAGAAAAAGTATAAAAGAAATATAAGAATACAGATGAATATCTTATCCTATAATACAAATATGGAAAAAGTACATATATTTTATTTTTCTTCAAATATTTATTTAAATACTAGTTAGTTACCATATAGTGTAATATTTTGGGGAGAGTAGAATTTAGTGATTTATCACTTATATACAACACCCTGTACTCATCATAACAAGTGCCCTCCTTAATACCCATCCACCCATTTAGCACATCTCTCACACACCTCCCACCCCACCGACCTCCCACTAACCTCCCTCCATCAACCCTCAGTTTGTTCCTTATAGTTAAGAGTCACTTATGGTTTGCTTCCCTCTCTTTATTTCCCTTCCCCTATGTTTATCTGTTTTGTTTCTTAAATTCCACATATGAATGAATGAAATATGATATTTTTCTGACTGACTTATTTCACTTAGCATAATACACTCTAGCTCCATCCATATTGTTACAAATGGCAGGATTTCACTCTTTCTGGTGGCTAATATTCCACTTTATTTATATACCACATTCTCTTTATCCATTCATTAGTCAGTGGGCATTTGGGTTTTTCCCATAATTTGGCTATTGTTGATAATACTGCTATTAGGGTGCATGTGCCCCCTTTGAATTAGTATTTTTGCATTAAGTACATATATATTATATAAAAACATATGTTAGGAAACTGAATATTATATACAGCTGACACTTGAACAACCTGGGTTTGAAGTACATGGGTCTACTTAGATGGACAATAAATACAATCCTGTACATAAATGTATTTTCTCTTCCTTGTGATTTTCTTGGAGCATTTTCTTTTCTCTAGTTTAATTTATTATAAGGATACAGTATATAATACATGCAACATAGAAAATATGTGTTAATTCACTGTTTATGTTTTTAGGCTTCCAGTCAAGAGTAGTCTATTAATAATGAAATTTGGGGGAGTCAAAAGTTATACATGGATTTTTCACTGTGTGGAGGGGTCAGCATCCCTAATCTCAACATTTTTAAGGGTCAATTATAAAATATGTATGAGGAAATGGAATATAATGTATATATATATATATATATTAGGAAATTGAATCTATGGTCTGGTAGCTAATATACTATGAAGTTATTGAGAGAAAATTATGTAAGACAATGATAGCATCATTTAATAAGAAACCTGGGGGACGCCTGGGTGGCTTAGCGGTTGAGCATCTGCCTTTGGCTCAGGTTGTGATCCCAGAATCCCGAGATTGAGTGCCACATTGAGCTCCCTGCATGGAACCTGCTTTTCCCTCTGCTATGTCTCTGCCTCTCTCTCTCTCTCTCTGTGTGTGTGTGTGTGTGTGTCATGAATAAATAAAATGAAAGAAAGAAAGAAAGAAAGAAAGAAAGAAGAAAGAAAGAAGAAAGAAAGAAAGAAAGAAGAGACTAGACTGAGATATGGTTTGATGATGAACTTAACCTTGGATTTTTTTATATGTAAATCAAGGGCTATTTCAATGAATTTGTAGGGCAGAATCTAGATTCCAAAGAATCGAGGAGTTATTGGCATAAGTGAATGATAAAGCAGTAGAGATAGTATTTACAGATGATTACTTCACAAACAATACTTACACAGTAGAACACAGACAGGTTCCATGGGGATTGTGAACAACATGGATATTGTTGGTTTGCGATTATTC